CTTTAAGTTTACACACTTGAGAAACGGGCGTCTGATTCCAATTCCCGCCCAACGCTCATCTTACTTTAACTTTACACACGTGAGAAACGTAGCCGTGATTCCATGGTGTTTGGCCCACCTTTCCTTTTGTGTGCTTTAATTTTTTTTTTGGGGGGGGGGAGGTTGCCTCGCGACTTGCCTGCTAACTAAAGAACTTAACGTGTGAATTCGTGTAAACAGGGGTCGGTTGTATGCCACGCTGGGGCCCAACTGGCGGGTGCCAATTCGGACTTCACCCAGAAGTCGGAGCTGTGTCTACAGGTACAATTAGGTGGTGGGTCTGTCTCTCTTTTTATTTTCTCTCTCTCTCTCTCTGGACGATGGGGCCAAATCTTATTTTCACCCTCTCTTTTGCCCTCCCTTGCTAATTCAGACCTTATTTTCAAAAGCATTGTCATTTTTGTTTCCCCATCTGCGTAGTGACTTCCTTCTCATGTTACAAGGAGTGGGTTTTTTTTAAAAAAAACCACATTTTTACTCACTTCTATGCTTTTCCCCTCCGAGAAGCAGGATGGGCCATGTTTACGTGCAACGCTGCGCATAAACATGCTGAATAAAAATGGCTAAGGAGTTCTACTCCCTCTCCCCACCTGGAAAGAAATCTCTTCCAAATATAAAACACAAGCAGAGGAGGTTCAGTTTTAGTTTCAGTTTCAGAGCACCAGGCAGCTTTAGTACAGAACAGTTAAGCTAAGCCACGCCCAGGCTCCTGGCTGTCTCCTTCTTGCTGACACAGCAAATATTGTTTCAGTTTCCAAACAGCCCTCAACTCTCTCACACACTAACAGTATACTAGCCAGATGAATGCCGATGGATGCTGGTAGGCCGAGGCAGAATTTTCCACCCCTTATTTTCCTCCCCAAAAACTAAGCCCGACCACATAGTTTCATAGCAAAGCACGGGTATCGAGCTAGTACATATATGTGGCTTAAGAATAAAAAGAGCAGATTGTGGGGCGGGCAGAGGTGTTGCAATCATCCTAGTCAGTTTGTCCGAGGTTAGCCAAAAGAAAAAGAAAAAAAACATTTGTTCCTCCCAGCGCCAGTTTGCATATCTTCCTCTGTTCCTCCTCCTCTTCTTCATCCTCCTCATCCTCATGATTTAATTCTTTTGCTGGGCTCAGCTTTTGGCTTTGGAGATTCCTCCGGCAGTTGAAGATGTCGTGAATTCCGTGGGGGAGAAAAAGATTTCCCGCCTTGGAAAAGATCCCTCTCTCCAATCCATTTTCCATTTCAGCCCTTATTTTTTTCTACCTTTCGTTCATTCTCTTTTACCTTTTGAATAAATATTTTCAAACACCTTTACCGTTTTTTTTTAAAAAAATTCCTCGCCTTGGCTAGTGTGCTAAAAAAAAAAAAACATCATTTATTTATTTTTTACTAATGCACCCTCATGTATTCTGCCCATCGGTTTTGATCAATTGTCTCTCGGTTAATAGGCAGTTCCAGCTGGGAAAACGTCACTCTTGTCCACCATTGAGTGTTTGTATATATTTAATAACAATTGTAGTTGCTGCTTAGAATCTCCTCCCTGCCAAAGTGGGGAAAAGTTAGGATCCATTTGGCTTCCTAGTCGTCAAGCACAGTGGTGTTGTGAGCGCTGCCACCAGCCAGGAAAAGCTGCATTTCATACACCCCCCACTTTGTCAGTAAGTGGGGTTTCATTGTGATTGAACTAAAGTACTTCTAGAAGAGAATATTTGTAACGCATCGTTGAAAGGAGGGAATCCTTGATGCTCTTTGAGCCTGGTGGTTTTCTCGCAGACCCAACTAGGTAACGTCATCAGTATTAATAGGAAGCGGGGTTTGCGCTGTCCTTGGTGCTGTCTGAGATTTGTTGTTTGCTTGCAGACATTTCAGTAGTCTAGTAGGTAACATCATCGGGAAACAAACAGACCCAAATATCTTCTCACCAGCAACCAGCACCTAGGTAAGTTGAGAGTAACACCAAGATGAACCCTAGACCAACAATGAAGAAGTCAACAATACCCCAATCAAGGAACTACCAACTCAGACAAACAAGTCAACAGTAAACAACAGCCTAATCAAAAGGACCACCAAGAACACTCCTGCCAGCACTGACAGGGCAGGTCACTAGTATATAAACAGAGAGCAAACCCCACTTCCTTCTAGCCCTGATGATGTTACCTAGTTGGGTCATGAAATGTCCCTACTATCCCCCCCCACCTCCTCCTCCTTCCAAACCCACTCCCTTCCAGCACTGATAACGTTACCTAGTTGAGTCATGAAATGTCTGCAAGGAAACCACCCAGCTGAGAGAACTTCAATGATCCTACACTCCTCCTCCTCCTCCTCCTCCTCTTCTTTCTCCCTTTCTACAAAGCCCACTCCCTTCCAGCACTGATGATGTTACCTAGATGGGTCATAAAATGTCTGCAAAGAAACCACCCAGCTCAGAGAGCACCAGGGACTTCGCAGGCCCTAAAATACCAAGTCTTATATTACAAAGGCAGGTCTTCAAATATAGAAGACAGGTTGCGCGAGCTAAGGGTTCCATCTGTATGAATTTTGCATGCCGTCGTAATGTAAGAATCGTCTAATTTCCACAAACCTGTGTCCGTCTCTTGGTTCAGCCCAGCAGGTGCCTGCAGTTGCAGATCGGGGGCTTCCGTGGGGGTGGTGACTATGGAAGGCCCCCTGAGAAGAAAGACGTTGCTGAAGGAAGGCCGGAAGCCTACGGTAACCACGTCAAGTATACTTTGACCATAGCCAAAAGCTTGGATGCCCATCATGGTTTACCTGGGCAGAAGCGTCTCCGTTTCAGTTTCAATGAACGGAGCGACATTGGCAGCTCCTTAAGTTGATGAGATTGAGAAATGGATTGCGGGGTGGAATAGTAAACCTATCTGAGAACTTGTGTAGCTCCGTGTTGAAATGAGGAGTCCTTGGGGCTCCCTTGGTTGTTTTCTGGCAGACGCTTCGTGTTCTGACCGAGGCTTCACAAAATCACAAAGCAGACTCCTCGTCCCAGCAAAACCCCTTTTTTTTATTAGGCTAATGTGAACTCCTCTCATTCACATCCAACAAAGTCCCAGCCAACAGTCTTCCAAGGGTGAATTGCAACCACAGACCTTATCCGGCTTGGAGAGCTGCCAGGCCGATATCTTCCAGACGCCACACTGTGGCAGACAATACTTGGCAAGAAGGCAGGAACAGATCTTCACCCAAATGACTTGAACTAATTGTCTCCTGCAAACACCACTCCCCTTTCACCCCTCTGGGATGGGCCATTCACCGTCCACCTGTGCCTACACTCCCGAGTCGGCCCTTGTTCCTTAGCTGTTCCCTTCTCCTGGCAGCTCTGTGCATGTGCACACTGGGAACAGGCTCCAGCTGTTCTTCTGCCCCACTGATCTCCAGTTCCAAAGGCAGCTGATAGCTGTCGGATGGCCCTGGCCCCATCTCTGCCTCCGACGCAGAGCCCTTGCCAGAGCCTCCCCCAGACTCCAGGACTGGCCCATGTTCTTCCCCAACCTCCTCACTGTCCGAGTCTGCTGCCAGCTCTGCTGGCCACTGGTGGGCCACAACACTTCAACACCAACGTAGGTAACCTCATCAGCGCTGCCATCATCACTAGCACTGATGACGTTACCTAGCCGGGTAAGGAAACGTCTGCAAGGAACTGACCAAGGTCCAAAGAGCACTGAGGAACCCTCAAATTTATTTATCCTTGTCACTGTTGTACGTGAACTTTGGGTGACACCCACACAGACTAACCCTCTTTTTACTCTTCCTGATAAACAGTGAGTAAAGATACGGAGACTCTCCTCTTTTCCTTCCATGTTTCCACTCAGAAAAGGAGCAATGGGGAGAGATTCTTTTCCGACCTTTGGTGGTGGGGAGGAAAACACTAAAAGGGCCTAGAAAAACCACTGGGAAAAAAAAAATGAAACGTTAACGTGGTGGACCGTTTAGTCTTTCCTGCTTTCAAGCTCTTCCTTCATGGCAGCGTTTCTTGCCGTGAAGGTTCAAAGTTTTCGACCTGAACCTTTGATCCTTTCCCAGTTCCCGCTGAACAGGGCGGGAGGGAAACCTCCTCGTAGGTAAAACGAAGGACCGGCAGCCCTTGGCTTGCAACTTACAACTGAACCCCAGATGTTGGTTGCCAAGTGAGACGTTTGTTAAGTGTTTCACTTAGCCCTTCATGGCCTTGGTGGTTAAGGGTTTAACCCGGCAGCTGTTAAATGAATACCACGGTTGTTAAGTGTTGAACCCCTTTGACTTTGCTCATCACAAAAGGGGATCGATGTGACACACACACCCCGCCGGGACCCTGCAACTGTCATAGGTTTGAGTCCATTGCCACTTTGGTCATGTGACCTCAGGGATGTTGCAAAAAATGGTCATAACTGGCTTTTCCCAGGTTTGCTGTTAACTTCAAATGGACCCTGAACACAACTGTGGTTAAGTTGAGGACTTTTGTAAGGGGGAAGGTTTTTACAGTTCCCTTTCTTTCTTTCTTTCTTTCTTTCTTTCTTTCTTTCTTTCTTCTTTCTTTCTTTCTTTCTTTCTTTCTTTCTTTCTTTCTTTCTTTCTTTCTTTCTTTCTTTCTTTCTTTCTTTCTTTCTTTCTTTTCCAGCTGTCTTCCTGGACCAGGTACTGGATTACTCTGTCGGGATCCACTCTGATCTACTTCGGAGCCAAGTCCTTAAGGGGCAGCGAGAGGAAGCACGTAAGCCAAATGGGGGTTGTGAGCTTGGGTGAGGATTTCCCGTGTCCCATCGCAGCTCCCTCCAGGGGAAAATCCCCATTTCCTGGATGGTAGCCAGAGCCACCTGACCGCTATTTTTCTATCTGACATTTCCTTGTTGCAGTATAAATCGACTCCGGGAAAGAAAGTTTCCATTGTGGGCTGGATGGTAGCGCTTCCTGATGATCCTGAACATCCTGATATTTTTCAGCTGAACAACCCAGATAAAGGTAAGCCCTGTTAGCGGGACTTTAGAATAGAATAGAATAACCGAGTTGGAAGGGACCTTGGAGGTCTTCTAGTCCAACCCCCTGCTTAGGCAGGAAGCCCTACACCACTTCAGACAAATGGTTATCCAGTCTCTTCTTAAAAGCTTCCAGTGTTGGTGCATTCACAACTTCTAGAGGCAAGTTGTTCCACTGGTTATTTGTTCTCACTGTCAGGAAATTCCTCCTTAGTTCTAGGTTGCTTCTCTCCTTGATGAGTTTCCATCCGTTGCTTCTTGTCCTGCCTTCAGGTGCTTTTTGGAGAATAGATTGACCCCCTCTTCTTTGGGGTAGCCCCTGGAAGACTGCTATCCTGTCTCCCCTAGTCCTTCTTATTAAACTAGACATACCCAATTCCTGCAACCATTCTTCGTATATGTTTCATCCTCCAGTCCGCTAATCATCCTTGTCGCTCTTCTCTGCACTCTTTCTAGAGTCTCAACATCTTTTTTTACATTGTGGGGACCAGAACTGGATTCCAAGTGAGGCCTTACCAAGGCCTTATCAAGTGGCATTAACACTTCACATGATCTTGATTCTATCCCTCTATTTAGGCAGCCTTTAGAGAATGAGGTTGCACTGGACATTGAATAAGCAAGAACGCATTTTTGTATATTTTTTTTAAAAAAAGAATCCTATAGAAGTTGAGCTGTTGAATCAAAGCTCCATGAAAACTTTTTGTGAGGCTTCATCTTCAATGAAAAGAGTCGCTATAGAACAGTTGCAGCTTGGGGTTGAACTGAGAGCGGTGGGCTTGGTTTCTCTCAGAGAGGAAAGAAGGACTAGATATGTGACATGACAGCAGCCTTCCAATATTTGAGGGGCTGCCCCGGAGAAGAGGAGAGGGTCAAGCTATTCTCCAAAACCCCTGAGAGGCAGGACAAGAAGCAACGGATGGAAACTCATTAAAGAGAGAAGCAACTTAGAACTAAGGAGGAATTTACTAACAGTGAGGACAATTCACTAGTGGAACAGTTTTGCCTTCGGAAGTTGTGGGTGCTTCATCAACTGGATGCTTTTAAGAAGAAGAGTAGACAGTTATTTCTCTGGAATGGTGTAGGGTCTCCTACTTGGGCAGGGGGGTTGGACTAGAAGTCCTCCAAGGTACCTTCCATCTCTATTATGATTAATTGATCGTATTAATCGTACAAATGGGGATCTTTTTTTTTTAACGTTCAAGATATCATTCTTCAGTGCTGCTGTTGCTAGCAAATCACAAAGACCTTGGTGCTATTTCTTTTCTTTTTCTTTTTTAAACTCTGCAGGCAATGTTTACAAGTTCCAGACCGGTTCCAGGTTTCATGCAATATTGTGGCACAAACATTTGGATGATGCCTGCAGAAGCAACAGGCCTCAGGTAGCCCATCTTCTATACTTGGTTTTAGTTTGTAAGCGACACAGTGGAGATGTTTTGCTAACTGGGTTACAAACCTTCCCACGAATTTCATTTGTTCCCATTCCCAGGGTCATTGTGTAGGTCAATCTCTAACCCAAAAGCAGAGAATAAAATGAGAAGGAGAACCAAAGACATTGTGGTGCCTTTTGGATGTAGGTGAAGTCCAGGAGATACATGATATAAACTTTGGATTCTTCACCTTGCTAAATCCAGAAACAACATAGTATTGAATTGGAGTCTTACCTGCTTAACTCAAGCACTGAGTAGGACAAACATTTATGATTGGTCCATTTCATGTGTCAATCTTCATAGGTAACTTGAGGTGGACCAATCACAAATGATAGTCCTGGTCTTCATCAGTGGTTGCACTGGCAGGACGGTTGGGTAGATAAGGCTGGGATGCACAGTGCTAAGGAGCTGCAAACATTTCTAATCCAAACTTTCGTAATCCAAAAGATTGTAATCCAAAGATTTACAAACAAATTTTGGGGTTAAGCTGTTTCTCTTTTTTAACTCTACTCTTTTTTAATGCAAAGGGTGGCCAAAGCTGTAATAAATAGATTAAGATTTGACTTGACTTTGACTTGACATGCTTGAGTTTGACTTGACTTTTAGCTTGACCTTTCCTTGAATTTTTACTTGACCTTGACTTGACTTGACTTAACTTATTCTTGACTTCTTGACCTTTACTTGACTTGACTTCAGTTGATTTGACTTGACTTTGATTTGACTTGACTTGTACTTGACGCCTTGACGTAGACTTGACTTTTTCTTGATTTGACTTTTACTTGACTTTACTTGATTTTTACTTGACTTATACTTGACTTCTTGACTTGACTTGACTTCTATTTGATTTTTTCTTGACTTTGACTTGGGTTGACTTATATATGACTTCTGAACTTGACTTGATTTGACTTATACATCATTTCTTGACTTGACTTTGACTTGACTTCTTGACTTGACTTATAATTGACTTCTTGATGACTTACTTATACTTGACCTCTCCTTTGCTTGACTTTTACTTGACTTCTGCTTGACTTGACTTCTACTTCACTTGCCTTGACTTTGACTTGACTTGAAGAGGCTTCTTGCGAAAATCTTCCATCCATGGACCATTTATCCAGCACTTTTCATTAACTATTTTTCCTTGCTGTTCCAGGTACCTGCAAACCTTATGTCATTTGAGTAACCTGCTCCAGTGTGCGGTATAACGTCCAGTGCCAAACTGCAAGGTGGGAAGGTGGGTTTCCATTAAAGCAAGGAGGAAAAAGACTTCAGAGCAAACCAGCTGTCTCCCACAGCGACTTCAGCACTTTTCTACATAACTTGAAAGTAATTATGATACAGCTTCTAGAAACGTGAATGTTATCCTTTGGGACAGGATCTGACTCACTGCACTGATGAAAGAATGGATTTGGACTGTTTGGAGAGGCAGCCTGACCCATCACAGGATCCGTGGGTCCTTAACTCTAGCCGTGGAGGTCACGACGGCTGTGGATTCTTGTCCTGCCACAAACTTTTATCCGTCACATCTCTCCAGATGTCTTTTTTTTTTTTTTTAAACTGCTCTTTTTACGGTCAAGCTGCTTTATGTGACTCAAGAACTTTAACCCATGTTGGGTTTAGAGTTATTTCTAATGCACAAAACAACAAACATTTGACAGTGTTAACTTGCTGCAGAGTGTCAATTAGAATAGAACGTTGTGAAACAACCTTTTTATAACCTTAAGTGCACTGAGTTGCTTTGCCCTGTGGCTGCCTCAGATTTTTGTATCAAACCTAGGGATGCGACCAACGTCGCCCTTGCGCTCAGCTACTTGGGAAAATGGTGTATTTTGGCACAAGATAAAAAAAAAAAAATCACCTGTAATTTTTTTTTTTCCTGTTTGTAACTCATAATTAATTGTGCTGTATTTTGTGGTGGTTGTTTTGTTTTGTTGTTTTTAAAATTAACTGGAGGTACCCCTGGCGATGAAGGGACCTTGAAGTGCTGCTGAAATACGCTTGATCTTAAGGCTCCTTCTGGGTTGCTTCATCCCAAAGGAAAGATTTGCCTTAAATTGTGTTTGCTGGAGGGCGGGGGGGCTGTTCATCCAAAATGTCCCGCTGGGCAAGCTTCTCCTACATCCCCCCCCCCCGGGCTGGTTTTAGAACTTCCCAATCCCAGAAAACATGGGTTGAGGGGAAAGTGTTAAATATGGATCCTCCTAAGAGAGAGAGGAGGTTTTCACCAAATACCAAGTCCCTTCTACTCAGCCAAGAAAGCCAATGTTCTTTTAAACCAAGGTAGAATGGCTAAAAAAGCCCACCCAGTTTCTTCATTTCCCAATTCAACGAAGTCGTGAGCTGCTTCGTGGCACCTTGAAGGGCAGCCAAACGATCCAGCTTCTTAATACAGGTGGGCCAGTGGTCATTTTGGAGGAACAGCACTCTTGGCTTTGAAAGACCAGCGTGCTACTTGATCTGACTGTAATCTTGGCTCTCTTCCAAGCCGTGTTTACTTTAAATATATGCTAAATGTCTTCGCCATTGATGATTGTAATGCATTTTTAAGTGTCACGCTGTATTTGTCTTTATCTCCTCTTTCTAAGAGCAAAGGAAGGTAAGAGAAATTATTGGGTTTGGACAGGAAACGAGAAAACAGGTCTCAGCCCCCCCCCCCCTTTCTCCTTCCCCCCCCAAAATCCTTGTTTTTTTCTCATGGAGAAATGGTTAGAAACTATTCCAACAAATTGTGGGTTATTACGAGCTGGGTAGTTGCTGTAGGATTTCAGGATGGGGAAATAGGTTGGGGTTTCTGGTGGATCGTCCGGATGTAGCATCCATTGCGGTTCTGAATGTCTGTAGTCCAGAAAGATTATTCTGGAGAACATACCCTTTCTCTGGATTTTCATATCAGGCAGCTCAGAGTATAGAAGGATACGCCATTCACTTGGAGCCTTTAAAAAGGCCCTTCTCTTCTTACCAGCTGCATAATGACAATTAAAAAAATCTGGCTTCCAACCCAATTAACCCAACCAAGAAGCTAATTTGCATCTAGCAAACTTGAGCCCAAATTGCATTAACCCCCTTTTACAACTCTGCTAAATTTCAGTAAACACCGAGGGTTGGACTGGCGCAATAAAATCAAACCCCATTGGTAAATATTCTGGTCTGACTTGGTGATGATCAAGTTAATTAAAGTGAAATGACTCCAAGCCAGAGACGGTTTTAGTTCAAGAAAAGAGCTGGGTTTGAAATGACATCTTCGTGGAAGCCGTCCCTGTGTTCGTCCCCAACCACGCAAAAACGAAGCGAATTTTATGAAATTGTGCGCGTGCTGAATTGTAGCCAGTCCGACTTCTAGAAAGGAAGTTCAGGATTTGATTGTCAAACGCTTTCAGAACAATTGATTATTGGTTTATTGGGTGAGAAAGGGGGGGGAGGAAACCCCCACTCTAAACATGGCCCTGTCTTAGAGGGGGGAATTTGTTTTTGTTCTCACCAACCTCCATCATTTTAGTTCGAGTTTCTGGGACTGCAAATCACTAGGTTTTTTTTGTTTTTGTTTTAATAACATTGGGGAACATGGTTGTTTCGACGTGCCCAAATCGACATGCCTCTCCTTCGTAATGAAAGAAACTTGCAGGCGTTGGCAGAGAGAATGCCAAAACCTTGACAAATCCCTCTGCAATTCTGTATTTAGAATGTAGGAGACTGTTTTCACTTAAATTTCTTTTTTAAGTAATAATTTTTTTAAAAAAAAGCAGTTTAGCAAAGGAAGGCCTGCCATCGTTTTTGACTTTGGTAGAGCTATCTAAGAGCTGTAGCCCACAGCTCGGGGGGGAAAAAAATGTACAGTGATGATAGAATAACATGGTGCTTCATTCAGCAATACAGGCAGTAGGGTGGTTTGAAAAAGTGAAATAAATGAGTAATAGAACAGTGTTGTCTCCTTCTCCCTCTCCTTCCATTTCTCCTCCTCCTCCTTCGCGTAATCCACGTTTAAATGGTAATTGTCCTATGAAAAGCATGAGGATTCTATTTAGCTGCTTCTTTTTTTTTAATGTTCTTTTCTATTGTGCATCTTTGACTGTGAACTAAACGGGGTGCATATTGGTACTATTTTTTTAAAAAAAAAATTCCGGTCTCCCCACCCCAGAGAAGGCACCACCCCCCCCCCCCCCCATCTGGAGCCCCCCCAGCTGTCTGTCCAACGACAGGTAGACAGAAGTTTTCCACTTTGGAAAGGGCCTTCAGAGCTGATGTGGGTGAGATGGCCGCAGAGGGCATCCCAAGATTACAAGGGGACAGGTGGTGAACGCTGCCGAGGCGTGTGCTTATTATGGCTACTACCGGCACGCACACAGAAAGAGTAACGTTCACACACACACACACCTCTGTGAAGCTCCTTCAACTGGAGATTATCTTCTTGGCAAAGCGAAAGAGCTCAAGGCGAAGATGCCTTTCGGTTGAAGGAACGGAGATTGGCGCACGCACGAACATGCCTGTGCTCCAAGGAAGGTGGGTTTGGGGTTTTTTTCCCCCTGCCTTCGAAACCTTCCCTCCCCTGTCCAGCCCAGGACAAGTCTCTCTGTGGGACTGACTGCCCTTTAGCCAATTTTGGGACTAGGGTCCCTCCATCTATCCGTTGGGTTTCCACGACAGCGCTTCGTGTAGCAGTGTCTCGAGGCCACACCCGTTATTCTTAATTTATTAGCTCGTGTAAACCTAGTGCCAAAATGCATGCTGGACAGGTTTTTTTTCTTTTTCTTCTTTTTTTACAAGTAGCCCTCGATAGAGGCGGAAATTATTGTGTCCGGATTTCAGCCGTTTGGGCCTTTGTGGTTTCAACCCATTTCTAGACTTTGGTTTTCTTTTCCCTGGGTGAGACCTTGTGTTTTTTTCTTTTCTTTTCTTGTTTTCCCCAGCTCCCTTTTTACCCATAATATTCCCAGTGGTCCATTGCATGGAATTTTCTTGTAAAGGCCTTTTCTCTCCCACTCCTTGTGAATTGTCTCCTTCCGGATAAACTACTGAAGTTTTCACCCTCCTGTGGAAGTCTTTTTAAAGTTTGGTTTTCTTTGGTTTTTTTCTTCTGGCAAAAGTATTTTGTTACCTCAGTCTTCTCCCGGGTTGCTGTATTTTTCAGCTTGTTACATTGATAATAACTGTTTCACTAAATAAAGCAAAAACTTTAATGTAAAAAAAAGACAAAATGATTCACGGGGCTTTATTTTCTTCTGCATTCTGATCCAGGAAGACAGACTTCTCGATTGATGGTAAAGCTACAAAGTCCCAGCCTGGCTCCTCAATGGTTTCCCACCCTGCCAGGTGCCGACTGGTTTTCCACAACCCCACTTTCTTTTTTGTCATATTTATCGTGCATAACGTTGTCTCTTCTCTCTAGGGAAAACCCAAAGTCTCTTCCTTGGCTTTGGGCAGCCAGCAAGGGATCGGGGAAAGAAATTTGGCAATGCAATGCGACATTCCAATAAAGTAGCCTTTTTGTGAATAAAAGCCAAGTGAAAAGGCCAGAAACCTAGGTTTTTCCCCTAGAAAGAAGAGATGATGTAATGCACATAAAGCCTGCTTCCCAGGGCCTGCCTGGTGGTCCAGAACCCCCAGTCATCAAGCTCATCAAGGCAGCTGCGTAGCTGGTGACGTCCTTCTGCCTTTCCTTACCATACCTGGAGCTCATTCCTCTAACTCTTACGTCTTCCTGATCAGCTCTGCTTCCATGGGAGGTCCCTCAATTCCCAGATCCCAGTTCGATCCACATGACACCTCTGGGAGGCCTCAGTTTTGGTGCATGGAGCTGACTTCATTTTATTGACTGATATAATCAGCAGTTTCACATTAAGATTTATTTCATCTTGTTCCTCTTTCATAGCTGTTCCAGAGATGGTTCTGCCAGAGTTGAATAGTCCTCCGATGAATCCTTTCCACATCAAAGGAGTCTCAGGCCAGCCCTGTGCCCTCTTTCCATGCTCAAGTGACTCTTTTCTCTGTCCTGAGTGGGCAAAAGGGCCCCTGTCAGCCTTGAAGCTGTCACATTCAGTGCCTGGGAATTTGGGAGGGGGGGATTTCATTAGTGGGGTAGAAGATTAGACACAACAACATTCTTTTCTCAGAGAGTCAAGGACATGTTGTCCTGCACCTGGAGGGAAGTGACTGGGGGAAATGCTTCCAGTTGGGATGAAGATTTGATTGGGCCATGTGATGGACTGATGGACGCAGGGGATAGATTCTGGATTTCTCTTTTGGGAAGGGAAAACCCGGAACTCTCCGATTCAGGTTTTCCCAGATGTGCCGATATGACGTCTTTAATAAATTCTTACTTGGATGGACTTGGTCTCTGAGTGCTGAATTGAGATGGAGAGTTTGGTCGGAATGCTGAAATTTCTTTCCCTTGTCCAAATACATTTCTATCCATTTGAATTTTAACTCTGCAAACCAACACGAGGGGTAAAAGGCTACAAAACAACTCCCAAATCCATTCTACAGGCATTTCCAATTCGACAATGCTGTTTCTAGGATTACAGAACGGTTCCAAAACGGAAGAAATCTTGACTTCAGATGAATTCTTTTCTCCTTTTTGTTGGCCATCCGGTCACACATCGTCTCCATTTCTCAGGCTTGGTGTCAGCGTTTCCGGATCAGAATGTCCCAGCTATCCTTCCAACGTAGAGCTTGTAACTCAGATTTTGAGAGGGCCGGGTTTCCGTAAGTCAGCGGCCGGAATGTATGATACGTAAAGTAGACGGAAGACATCCAGGCCGCCACCAAAGCACTGTGCATGCTCTTTGAAAGTTTGGACCTGTGGGAGAGAACAGAGAGACAAGCATTAAAAAAAGAGGCTGAGCGTCTGTAAAGAGCACAGAGAAAAGCAACCAAGATGATTCGGGAGGCTAAAACGGTTATTATCCAAACCCAGGAAGAAGAGGCGAGGTTATGTGTCCGGACAAACCTACTTGCAGAGGAAGTCGCTGGCATGCTGCAAAATGATGGGGATCAGGAGGATTTGGAAAGTGATGGCCGGCAGGTAATGATAAAGGAAGAGGTTCTTCTCCATCAGGAAGAAAGGCAGGTAGTTGGCGGCCCATCCGCCCACGCAGATCCCTCCAGCCAGGAGCCACTGCTGCCAAGTCTCTGCAGAGGAAACGGGAGGGTGTGTGTGTGTGTGAAAAACGGGCAAGTCAGTTTCTCAGCCTGAGAAAATAGCCAGGACGGGGCACAGAGGAGAACAAGAAATGGGCCAAGGGGCATTTTACCCCCTGGCAGGCAGGATGGGCGGGGGGCAGCGAATGTCCATGTGCAAAGAGCCTCATCGAAGCCTGGCACTCCTCCGCAAGAGTCAGGGTGTCCGTCCACCGACACACTGACCCACAACCAGCCTGCGAAACACGCTCCCTCCCCAGAATCCATGCACAGAATGCTGTTCCCTTCCCACCAAAAGGGGTCCCTATTTTTCTACTTGCATTGTTTACATGCTTTCGAACTGCTAGGTTGGCAGAAGCTGGGACAAGGAACGGGAGCTCATTCCGTAACGCGGCGCTAGGGATTCGAACCGCCGAACTGTTGACCTTTTCTGATCGACAAGCTCAGCGTCTTAGCCGCTTGAGCCACGGCATCCCTTACAACAGGTCTTAGGCCAACCCAATTAAGGGGTCTTGGGTAGAAGATCAAGATGGGTTTGGAGGTCCCAGACCTTCAGGGATATCCCAGATTTTCCGCCGCCGCCGGAGCAGGTACCCCAGGAACAAAACCACGTAGACGATGGTGGCTACGTTGGCCGATGTCCAGCTGACGAGGTTGCCAAGAAGGTGAATTTGAGCCTGGCCAGGAAAGATCAAGAAGATGCTTTGAGTTGTGTTACGATGCCACTGAAAGTAGGGGCTGTTTTTCACAGTAATGACTTTCGCAGCATCCCATGGTCACATGATAACTCATATTGGTGACAATCGCAGCGTCCCTGGGGGTGTCACATTTTGCAAACCTTTTGCAATCTTCTGACAAGCCAAGTCCGTTGGGATCCAGATTCACTTTAACAACTGGGTTATTAACTTAACGACTGAAGGGATTAACTTAATGGCAAGAAAGGCTGCAAAAGAAGGCATAACTCACTTAACAAATGCCTTGCTTAGCAGTGCAAATTGTGTGTTTGTGATTGTTAATCGAGGACCGCTTGTATAGCTAAAAAAGGAAGCAGGGTGTGGCCTGCTGAAATTCTCTCTGGGGCAAAGGGAGATCTGAAGATTGCCCACATGTATTCCAGAAAATATGATTTCTGAAGCCCACATAAAAATCCAGTAAAATCACCCCTGAGCTGGAATGGAACCAGTAAGCAATGTTGGTGTCCAGGGTGATCCAATCCAAGGGAGATGAGCTGTATTTATGTTCCGTGTCCTCGTTTTTCAGGGTAAGGATCTTCCACTAGAAAGAAACACAAGGATTGGGTTTCACAACATTTCCAGATATCAATGCGAACTACATGGCAACTCATAAAGCATTCCTATGCCTATTTCAGAATTGCCATAAATGGGGGGGAGGGGGGGATCTGGAAGAGCAGTGTGAAAGTACAAACAAGTGAAAGTACATTCCAACACTTATCTTTAAAAGTTTGTAACTAAATTACCAGAGCTTTCGCCCACGAAAATATTTAATTGGAGAACATGATTGATAACAACCAGGCCATGAACGTGCTTAATTGGAGAATCTGATTTATGAGACACCCAGGGTAGAGGTGGAAACAGGGTGAATTGTAAATCACATATGCCAGAGTTGGCTTCATACAGATCATTGCCAGTATGTTGTTCCTCATAAATTATTTGAAGTGTTTTGAAGTTTGGCTTGAGGCTCATGATTTAATTCTGACGCTACAAGTGATACAGCCCCTAATTCAAAATGTCTCTTGAAGTCTACAACGCTCCCTCCACCTCTAGATGTGAAACCGGCTGGCAGGATTTACACAACAAGGTTAACATTCTGGTTTGTTTAGGGGCTGTATCACTCGTAGCTTGGGTGTCAGCTCTGCCTGGTTCGGCTTGGCACCTCACAGGCATCCAGCCATTAAGGGCTGGAAGGGGGCAGGATAGAAGGGCAATAAAGCTGTGTGTGTGTGTATGTGATGGGAAATCGGAAGGGGGGGAAATGACAACCAATTAACTTCAATTCCCAGAATCCCCTGGACAAGCACGGCAGCTGCTGAGAATTCTGGGAACTGAAGTCCACCCTGCGGCTTTATCGAAAGCTGCCTTTCTCGGCCCTTTCTTTCACCTGCAATTCGGTGAACTTGGCAACGAAAGTGAGATTCTGGCTGATGTTGATCTGAGTGGGCAGGTGCAATTCTACCTCTCTCTCTTTCTGCTCATGGCCTGCAAAAGATTAAAACAAAACAGACCTGAAAAACCAGGTTAGTCGGGGCCAAATTTTCTCCCACAATCCTTCGGGGTGTGCCTGAGGTTGGTAGGGTACACCACTGCTCACAGAAGACAACTTTATAAGAGTTCATTTAGTGAGCAAAGTTACAATGGCACTGAAAAAAAGTGACTAATGACCGCTTTTCACACTTACGACCATTGTTGCATCTCCACGGTCCATCAAAATTCAGACACTTGGCAACTGGCATGTACTTATGAAGGTTGCGGTGTCACACAGCAGCTGTTTTAATAACTTAACAACTGCAGTGATTCTCTTTAACAACTATGGCAAGAAACATCATTAAATGGGGCAAAATTCACTTAACAACTACCTCATTTAGCAACAGGATTTTTTTAGGCTCAATTGTGGTCGTTAAGTCAAGGACTATCTCTCCAGGTCTCAAGTGAGTAGAAGTTTTTTTTTTGGGGAAAAAAAGTCTTTCCAGAATTTTGCGGGTGTGTGTGTGTGTGGGAAATCTGGATTAACGTCCAAAGAGGTTTTCCTAAAAACTAACTTTTCCCATATCGGTGTTCTTCCACGTTCCACAACATGCTTTGGTGGTACCCCTTGGAGATCTTCTCACCAATCACCTCCAGTTGTCGGTAGCCCCACTCAGGGAGAGAAGCTCCGCTAAGCTGGAGGGGAGAAAAAGAAGGGAATGGTTAAAAAGAAAGAAAAAAAAGAGATTTAAAATGCCAACTTCCTTAGTAAGACTGTATTACTATTCTTCTTCTCTTCCTTCCTATTACCTATCTCTTCCCACTTACGGCTATAACCGTGTTGCTTGTATCTTTACAATTTATATTGTTTCATTTGTTTTTCTAGTATGTTTTGATTGTGTATTAGTAACCTATATATAGAATAGAATAGAATAGAATAGAATAGAATAGAATAGAATAGGAATAGAATAGAATAGAATAGAATAGAATAGAATAGAATAGAATAGAATAGAATAGAATAGAATAGAACTTTATTGTCATTGCATTCAGACAAGAAATGACAGATGGAAACTAACCAAGGAGAGAAGCAACTTGGAATTAAGAAGAAACTTCCTAACAGGGAGGACAATTAACCCGTGGAACAATTTGTTGTGGGGGCTCCATCACTGGAGGTTTTTAAGAAGAGACTGGACGGCCATTGGTCTGGAATAGTATAAGGTCTCCTCCTTATGCAGGGGGTTGGATAGAAGACCTCCAAGGTCCCTTTCCAACAATTATTCTGACTCCATGCCTTCCCTGCACCACTGGCTGCAAGAAACTTTATTGGTTGAGACCCCAAGCAAACTCACCTTTAACACGGCCGATGTGTTGACGTGGATCAGTCTGACTTCGGACAGGATCGTTTTCCAAATCTCGTTTTCTGAGTCGCGGTTCACGATTTCCTGTGGGGTTTTTTTTGGGGGGGGGGGGGAAAGGGGGAAAGAGACACGTCCTGATGCTGCAGTTTGGCTGATACTCTGCCTTCGTTGCTCCTGTCAGGTCATCAGATGCAGCATCTGATTATAACTAGATTAGGAAAGGGGTTAAGAGCCAGGATAGCACCACGATGGCGCAATGGTTAGAGTGCAGTATTGCAGGCTAAACTCTGCCAACTGCCAGCAGTTCGATCCTGACCGGCTCCAGAGGTTGATTCAGCCTTCCATCCTTCCGAAGTGGGTAAAACGAGGAACCAGATTGTTGGGGGCAAGAGGCTGACTCTGTAAACTGCTTAGAGAGGGCTGTGAAAGCACTATATTGCTATTTTATTTTTTATTTGTTTGTTTGTTTGTTTGTTTGCTCAGTCCACCTTTTATCAATCCCCTTTACAGCCTGGCACTTACCACTCTCCAGAGGTTCTGTGCAGGCATGGAGATGTTGTAATCGATGTAACAGGAGACCTCTTGGGAGTGTGGGCTGAGGGGTGCAGCCACGTCGTGCCTGCAGGGCGGAGAAAGCAACAAGGGGAGAATATCTGTAGCTCAGGGTTGAACTGTGAGGTCCCCCGGGGCTCTCTGTGCTTGGCAGTTTTCTTATATACCATTACAACAGTTTCAAGATGACACATAGCTAGAAGCCAAAAGAAGAAACAGCTTACGTGTTAAGGTAACGGGTTGTGATTCCATGGACCAGTTGAACAATGTTGCCATGTCGCACAGGCCGTGGCGGGTTGCTAGCTACCAACTGCTGCCTGTTTTAGGAGAGGCAAAAAAAAAAACAACGGTGGCTGGAACCAGCAAAATCAAAGTAGATCAATCCATTAAGTCTGGCTGTAATGTAACGATGTATTCCTTTTATTGTCTGCATTATTTCCACCTTTTATTGGTGGTGGTATTATGTTGTTATTATTATTTGTCAGAGTATATTCATGAACTGGAATAGAGCTTAGTAACAAGGTCAGCCAATGAGAGCTGAGTTGAGGGCTGGAACTTAAAGAGAGAATCTGGGTGTGGTTTATCTGTCTTCTGTGCTCAACTCTAAAGTGAAAGAGAAACTAAGTTGCCTGCTTGTCTGCTGAACTAAATGTGAAACTGATGTCTGCTTCTGTTTGAGTTTGCTCCATGTTGGATAAATCTACAACTGGTATTGTAAAACTTACTTTATGTGTTTATAAAGAAGTTAAAACAAGCCTCAGCCATCTGTGTTTACTTTTCTGGCACTGAATTTACGCTGCAAAACTCTAAACATTATTATTATTATTATCTCTTATTATTATCTCTTATTTATTAAACATGAAACTCAGTCAGCTGAACATTTAAAAATGTATCACAAATATAATTAACTGGCACTAATGGTTGAGACAGGTTGCTGCCAGCATTCTTGGTATCAACTTATTTATTATTATTATTATTATTATTATTATTATTATTATTGTTGTTGTTGTTGTTGTTGTTGTTGTTGTCATCATCATCTCTGTTGTCTTGCAAATTTACTGAGTGCGTCTGTATCAGAGACAAATTCCTTGTGTATCTAATCACACTTGGACAAATAAATTCTTCAACTTACAACCATAATTGAGTCCAAATAGTTAGGTTGCTAAGCAAGAAATTTGTGAAGTGAGCTTTGTCCCAATTTATGACCTTTCTTGCCACCCTGGTTAAGTGAATCACTGCAGCTCTTCAGTTAGCAATATGGTTCTTAAGTGAATCTGTCTTCTCCGTTAACTTTGCTGGTCACAAAAGGGGATTGCATGAGCCCTGGCACACTGCGACCGTCATAAATGTGAGGCTGAATTTTAATCATATAAACATGGGGATGCTGCAACGGTCGTAAGGATGAAAAACTTTCGTGACTTTTTTTCAGTGTCTTGTAACTTCGAACGGTCACATGACTACCTGAAGAGGCCTACCTTCCAGGATCTTTGATGATCCACCAGTTATTCACGTCCTTAAACGGATAGCAGGTCACCTGTTGCTGATGGGAACTGCCCCGTCCGTTGTCGTATCTGGGGAAGACACAGAGAGAACGGAGCGTGACCACCTCTGTGGAAAAGAAGGAATGCAAGATAATCTGAAGGGCCCTTTTAGGTCACAGGAAAAAAAAAATATTTATTTTACCCAGCTTCGGAATAGCTCGTAATGGCCGTCTTCTCTGCTGCCAGATTGGAGAGCCTTCTCCAGAGCGATCAGGGAGTTTGCGGGCTCCCTGCGATCGACGGAATGTGCTCTCTACAATCCTGGCCCCTCCGAGGCGATTTAGATCCGTTAGGACCTCTCTGACAGATGGGTATCGACGGTCCCCACGGAGCTCTCCGTGAGGCATGTCATGTCGCCACGACGTCAGCCCCGCCCTCTCCTTGATGCTCTTTGAGCTTGGTGGGGGCCTGGTCTCGTTCCTGGGAGCCTGGCTCTCTGCCAAATTGGCCATTTCTCCTCAGATATTGTGCTCTTTTCTTTGGCAAAAAAAAAATTCCACGCCAAAGAAGACAGCGTCTCCTGAAGATATCCGCCAGAGATGGAACCCACTGTGGGACAGGCCGGGGTTGTATACAACATCCCTGTTGGAAAACTTCCCTTCTCACCTGATGGGATAGGTATTCCGGTGGGAATGAAGCCAACACGGTAAGGGTTTGCCCAAGATATTCCTCAAAGTAATCTGGGATCCATAAGCCACTTCCAAGGGCTGTCCCTGAGTGATGCGAGAAAGCCCTCCCTAAAAAACAACACACACACACACACACACACACACACACACACACAGAGTGAAGGGGAAAGCCAGACTTACTGAACAGCCTTGCTATTGATTTAACAACTGGCGTGATCCACTTAACAAGGGTGGCAAGAAAGGGGCAGATGAGTCATGTAACAACAGAAATATTGGGCTTAATTGTGGTCATAAGTCGAGGATTACCTGCATAGAAATCGGTAAATCCCAATAAATAGAAAACGAAAAGCAGAAAGATAAATTCCATCAGCATTCAGTTGGTCAATTAACATAGAGATTCAAAGAACAAAAAGTAAAAGTGAAAAAAGTGGGGACGGGGGGAGGGAATTGGCTCTTGTGAGAAAAGAAAGAAAGAAAGAAAGAAAGAAAGAAAGAAAGAAAGAAAG